TATATATATATATATATATATATATATATATATATATATATATATATATATATATATATATATGCATGCGATTTAGAGCCTGGTTAAGAGTCGTCTGCTGCATAAATTGTGTGTGCACACTGCAGCCCTGTGGTTGGACCGGGAAAAAAGACATACGTCCCGCCTCTGCACTATTTTCCGATTGAGTTTCAGTCTCTCCAGACAGGGGAAGGTGACGGAGAGCTTGGCTTATCACAGGGCACTCTTCGGTACTTTATAGACTTGGTATGGCCTCACACGTGACCACATACATGCATATTTAATCACATTTATATCTTATTTCAGAGTAGTTGCGGTACACAACAGCCGGTGGCCGTAACTGCAGTTGCTGCACTGCTTACATGCTGCTTGCATTTCAGCACGGCGAGACGGATCCGTATGAAGAGCTCTCCATTGCCCACTTGGGCACTGAGGAGGAATTTGAGTTGCGGTTCATCGTCTGGAATGTGGAGAACATAAACGTGTTCAAAGGATCTTCGGGTGAGCTCATAGTTTTTGTACTTCGAAGGCTAACCGCACCACAGCACTATCACGGATTGCAGCAGCGCGGGCACAAAGTTAGGGGTGGTAGGGTGTTGCCTGCAGCGCGCAGTCTAGTCAGATGTAGTGTTTTTCCAATGTTGTGATATGGTGAAGCTGAGTCTAATATACCGTAGTCGTGTGGCCTTCTGTACTGTTCTTCTTTTTCTGCTTTCAGGGGAGCGTAACGATCTAAAAGTTCGAGTTGAACTGTTTATGACGGACTTCGAATTGGCAGATTTGTATGAGAGTTTCGACACGGATGTCCATTTCTTCTCAAAGCGTACGGCAACGTTTAACTGGCGTATTCTGAAACGGGTCAAACTACCCCTGGCTTCTCTGAACGTCAAGGTAAGCTTGACGCAACAACATGCCTATAAGGAACACAAATATATGAGGAAAATCCGCACTCAGTGTCAATAAACACCTTCACTCACCCACGCAGAAGCTAAACGAAAGTAACTGGGCAGAGTAGATGCTTATACGACTGCAGTAGAGGCCGTTATGTAGAGAACACAATCAATGTCAACGGTTGGTGCTTGCAGCTGACTCTCGTGGATATCAACGCCCCTGCAGCTGACAACGCCCTCTACAATCCAGAGACGCTTAGTCTCGACTCAATGGCACTAACTGCTATTACTCGGTATCGCCAAGACCAAAAGGCGATTGGACCCGTTGACTTCGACGTTATATTCCACGAACCACTGGGGGCCGGCATGTGCGTCTGGCGTATCACTTGTACTGCTTCGCCTCTATTCTGCACACTGCTGCATTCGGTGTCTGTGGAGTTGCTCGTAGGCATCGTGAATGTGTATTGCTTTCCTGAATTTCCTGGGGCCGGGAAGGAACAAGCTAACAAGGATTTTTCACCGTTGTTGTGTGCCGTCAGGGTCGAGCACTGGTGCCAGGCATTTTGGTGCGCCCCCTACGAAGCCATGGGATGCCCCACCGCTGTGACGGGTTGCTGTAACCGGCGAGAAGTGCGTGGAAACTTCTTGGAAGAGAATGACGAGTCTGTTGCTTTGTGCTGCTGTCTCGGCTACTGCTGCTGCGGACGCCAAGCCAAACGCCGCCGTCTTGGATCGTGAGTTTTGCACACCCTAAATGCTGAACACTTGAGTAATGTGAGAAGAACGCTTTCGGGTGTTGTGGCGCTACATCTGGGTCTTCACTGAAGCTTGTGCCCCCAGTGTTTCTTCTAGTCAGAAGAAAATTCCGATTTGAGGGGAAAACTGAAGCGTAGTGAAACATCCAATACTTCAACTGCCTTTTCACATCAGTAGCTTCGAAGGACCCATATACACAACGGTCATTTGCGACATCTTTATTGCTTCTCAGGCTCCTTTCTGGCCCCACGACGCTTCACTGCACCGTCGCGCTGCTTCACAAGAAGGAAGCGGATGCCCAGCCAGTGGGACCGGGTCGAGCTGCGCCGGAGCCCCTGGCGGAACCTACAGACCGCCCGTCACCCAACATGATGTTGACTGTAAGGTGTACTGCGCAGCGTCACACCGCCTCGTATACATCTGGAATATATATATATATATATATATATATATATATATATATAGTCAGTGCTTCGGGTATGTAGCTGTTGATGTTTCTTACGGCCTCCTCATTTGTATCTACCATTGCGCCTTTGTGTGTGTTCGCAGGATCCCGTGGGCTATTTAACATTAGTTATTGGGAAGCAGACGTGCGCCCTTATACAGTGAGTTGCAGAAAGCGTACCAACAACTAAGCATTCCCTGGCTGCGCTTGCTCTAGTCACTATGGCAACATGCGTGCACAGTTTTGCTTATGCATGGATCCCGATTTGAACTTGTGCTGCTCAGGGCAACCTCACTCGGGTGCTGCATGCTTACAGTCCTCCTGCTTATCGTTCTGATCGCGGCTATCATCATTATTGCGGTTCGCATTTGATTTGAACGCCTGCAGAGGTCGTTGCGTTCGAGTGCCGTTGTTGTGTAAACGCGCATGCAAAATAAAATTGCTTCCTAATGAGCATCTTACGGCCATTTACCACACGGGGGCACACCTACATCGAAGTCGCCCCGTCTATAGTTACTCTGCCAGCGTGTTGTATGCAAGCCAATCGCGCTTACTGGTGACGGCAAGTGCTGCCGTTCTAACGCTCTCTGCTCATCCGTGCAGTGAGAACTTTAAATTTGAAATCATATATAGTATACATAATATACATATATATATATATATATATATATATATATATATATATATATATATATATATATATATAT